CTACTACTTCTTCTTCTCTCTCTCTCTCTCTCTCTCTCTCTCTCTCTCTCTCTCTCTCGTCGAGTTTATGTTACTCATTGTTAATGCAGAAACTTTTTAATTACTTTAAATTTCATATTGAGATATAATAATTATATATTTATGTCTCAATATATATCTGTGACGTATGAATTATTGATGATCCATGCTTTTATTCAGGCCGTTTAATATTTCTTACCTTTTTTAGTAACGGAAAAAGGTCAACAAGGCCCAACGCATGAATGTCGGAGCGTAAAAAAAATTTATATTTTTACAATACAGAATAATAATACAAAAATGTTTAAGCTCAATTTTTGTATTATACTTTTTTTCGTCTGGCAGGGTTACAATCAGCATAAATTACCGCACAATGTTTACGCATGCATTTTATTAATCTGTTTCGTCTTGATTTATTGCTTTTAAACGTTTTCTGTATGAATATTATCCATTATGCATTAACTCATTACTAATTCCCACAGTTCATCTGATATTTGTAATGTAAAGTTTGAACTTGATTTGTGTATTTTTGCAAGCCTGATTATTACTATCTATAACATTTTGTATTTACGTAACTTCTAGCAATAGGCATTGCTGTTTATTTTAATAATTTATAACAATTAAAACACAAGTCTTCTTTTAAGAATATACTTCTAAGTCTTATGTAAGATAGAAATTTTATTACTTTTTCCATTTCTACTTCATCATTTCTAATTTAAATTATAAATTTATAAAAAATTTATCTTTTTTCTTTCTTATGTTTTTTTGTCCGTGGATGGATATTTTATTTTTCCATATTTTTATGTATTTATTATTTATTACTTTATATCAGTGGTGCCCAATCTTCTTGTACATGATATTAAACATATCAATAGAGACAAACTAAGTAAAAATAAAAATATGAAGAAAATCTATCAAAAAACACGTTGCGATCAACTGGTTGAGTACCTCTGCTTTATATCATATGTTAATCGTACTATATGCCTACGTTTTACATTTTTATTTATATCTTTAAACGCTTTCTGTTTTGTATAGATTGTAAACAATACTATGCAAGTTTCAGTTTTTTTCCTTGAAGTATATTATTAATCATTAAAATTTTAAATGTACTTGTATATATTTAAATGTATATATATGTTTGTATTGTATGTTTTTATGTGTAATAGTGCATTATTAATATATGTTAACATATTAAACAATGATTATATCTTCTATATATATATTTCATATTTTAAAATTGCACACGAGATGAAATAATAAATGATTTGTTAATCATTTTCACATTTTAGCAAATTTAATGAAGAATTTTAGATATATTACATACGAACTTACTTGAAAACATATTTTTGACGGTCGTTATTATTATTAAATACTTTTACAATTGTGTAGTGTTGAAATAATTTTGAATGCATGATTAACAACACAATAGCGATATGCACGCACTATCTACATGAAATAACACGTAAAATATTTTTTTTGAAAACATTCGACGTTGAGTTGAATGGTGTTTCACTTCTGTATCAGTAAGCATTGTGTCTAAACAATGTGTATTGCCTTATTTGAAATTCAGATAAGAATTTTTGAAGAATTCAGATAAGAACATTATGCCGATGTGACACTTACGTAATGTGCATCTTCTATGATGTAGATCACGATGTAGACCATCATTGTTAGCCAATATTCTCGGCTTTTGTATTTTTTATTTTTGTAAAACGTAGGATATAGTCGGCAGTTTATTTCACAAAATGCTATAATATTTTTATCAGTGTTCGAAGTGATGTCATGCGCGACAATATGGTACACCATCACTGGATTTTTCGATCAAAAAGCATACCACCACTAAAAAATGACGTACCACCACTAGATTTTTAGTACAAAAAACGTACCACTGAAAAACGCCATTCCGGTACGCATTCGATATATTTTATTACAGAGATGCACAAATGATTAAATTCGAGCAATCTTCCACTGAGATGCCATTTGATTGACTACTTATTGGTTTCTTGTTTTATTTATTTATCCGATTTGTTGTTGTATAAATGGATGCATATTGCTATTGAGATTTCTTTTTGGTTGTAAAAAATTTCTGATTATCATAATCGCGGAAGAGAGAAATATTATCTTTAAAGAAATATTACCTCTTCAAGGAAAATACTTTTATGACAAGAATACATCAAAGTAAAATATTTAAACAATTTACTGCGTTTTTTTTTAGTTTGAGCACTGATTTTATAATGGAATTTATATAATTTTATGGAAATAAGTAGAAAAAGTCCTTTTGTCATTATCGTTAAATTTTACAATTATTGAGCAAATTTTAATAAATAAAAACATTTATCAATGTTGCATTTTATTAGAAGCTAATTGAAATAATTATATTTATAATCTAATTCAATATTTTAAATAAAAAACTTACCGATGAAGTTTAAATTACTAACTAAAACATAATAATTTCCTACAACAGCTTGATTCAGACTGCAGTGTCATATTTCGAAGTCTGAGTTTTAATATATCTCTCCCTCTTCTACCAGAAGACGAAATGTGGGAGGGAATAGAGAATCATTCTTATTCATTGTACTTTATTTTAGTATTAGTTTTCTTTTTTTTTATTTAACTTATTGACATAAAAAGATTATATTAGTGATTTCATAATTTGTTTTGGTAATGGTATGTATTTTATTTTTCTATATTTTTATACATTTATTATTTATCACTCTGTACCAGTAATGCCCAATTTTTGTGATGTTAAACATGATATTAAACATATCAATAGAGACAAAATAAACTAAGTAAAAATAAAAATATGAAAAAAAATCTATCAAAAAATACGTCGACCGATATATGTAATAGTATAATATTCTATATTAGATAATAGTATAAAGCAGGGATGCCCAACCAGTCAATCGCAAAGTGCTTTTTGATAGATCTTCTTCACATTTTGATTTTTATAAAATGTTTTATAAAATGACTTTGTTTAATTTTATTATAAAATTTAGGTTTCTAATTTTAATATTTATTTTGTTTCTATTAATTTCTTTATATTTTGATACCTAGTTTGTCTCTATTGATGTGTTTAATAAATGTTGAAATTATATTTTAATTATATATTTAATATTATTTTTCTTTTCCGTATATGAGTGGATCGCGAAGTCGTTCTATTAAAAAAAAGTAGCTTGCATATACAAAAGATTGGGTAGCATTGATATAAAGAATGACTGATAATCATGATTCATAATTCATATTTTATATTTATAATTTATAATTTTTTGAAAAATTAATATTTATTTCACAGTGTATAATCTATCGTCCAATATCTTCTAAAAAGAATCTTTCTTTTAATTCGTTTGTGAGAACTTTTTTATCAAGTTCTTGATGTATATTTTTATTAAAAATTAGTACTTTCACTTATATCCAACAATATTAACATTAATTGATTAATATAAAAAAAGATTATTAAAATTTATTTAAAGATTACAATATATACAAGTGCATCTTATTTGTTTTCCTTAAAATTATTATATTAATATTTGATATTTTTCTAAATTTTTTTTTTATTAAATTATTTAAATTTTATGAAAATTTTATGTTATGCGGAACAATAATGTTTCACGTTAGTGCTGAAGGACGGAATATATTTGTGCTATGTCACTTATTCTATGTTTTTTAATGCTGTGATAAAAAAGTGATGCAAAAATGTTAAACTACGATTAAATCTACGATAACGTTAGCGAAATATGTAAATACCTAATTCAAATTTACACCATTTTGCAATTTATGTGTGTGTTTTCAAATGATAATAAACAATACACACATCCAGATTTGATAATCAAATCCAATGTTACCGCTAAATATAGTGAGTAACAAAGTTCGATTTATTATATATATAGGGATTTATTATATATATAAAGATCGACTCTACATATATAGATATATATATATATATATACAGGGTGAGGCAAAAGTATGGAAACCCCCGAATAAGTTTTGAGGAAGGCATTTTACGAAAAAATGTTAAATACAAAAGTTTTAGGAAATTTCTCTGGCTTTTTAATGGTGATCTTGGATTTGACCTTGACCGTGACCTTGAAGGTCATTTGAAGGTCAGAGTAATTTTTTTAAAATGGAAACCCCTATTTTTTATTCCAAAATCTAA